TTCCTTTTTTCATTGTTATTTCTCTGACGTTTCGACATAACCAACAACCTAGCTGAGAAGGTCGGTGTTTTGTTGGGACTTGAAGAGGGACAGTGCTACTATTGCGACCTAATATCCAAGGAGAGTTTGCTTACTCACGGTTTATGTTCTGAGCTCGGTAACCGCTATTTTATCCCAGGTATGGCTCGGGTTTCCTCGATTATTTTGCATATTCGATTATGCTCGGCACTTACTTTAAGCTTTTTTATCTCGAAAGTCTACTGCCCGTTGTTCAGCACATGCGGGTTCCGTTCTGTGAAGGAAGCAAACAAGCACGCGCGTGCCAACCCCAATCCTTTAAATAAAGAAAAAATATGGCAAGCGGGATGGCTTTCCTGATGAATCAGAACAAGAAGGCCCTGAATTTGAGTTCGGCGGGGACGTCCAGTGTGGTGCCCCTGACCCCGGCAACTTCAGACTCATTGGCTTCAAGGGTCGATGCGATCGAGAATGTCGCGCCGGTGGCTGGCTTTGTTCGCGAGGGCCAAGCTGGTGGTCGTGGTGGAAGGAATGGCGGTCGCGACTTCGATATCGCCCGTGGGAATAATTGGTCTAACTACGGCGTCGGGACCCGCCAGAAGAAAAGTCGGGCCCGTGACGAGGACTCGGAGAAATCCGAGGATGAGGTGGCGACGGGGATGCAGGATGCCCGTCATCCACCAAGAAGTTGAGGGCCGAGAAGACAGAAGTCGGTATGATCAGCGAGAGCTCGACACCAGTTCATGGAATCGAGACGTCGATCTACGTCCCTGTGAATCTGGGGAGAAAGGCCTCGCTTTCCAAGAGCCTACCTCGCTTCCCAGGCCAATGGTTTATCGATTCGAGGGCAGCGGTTCCTTTTGACGTCGCCCGGACCGTGATGACCTCGTGGACCCCAGTTGCCGAGGCGGCCATTGCGATGCTCTCTTAGCCCTAGCTAATACAGCACTCGATGGCGACCCTAGGCCGGGCCATGGTCGAGTTGGTGCACGCCACCGAGATAATGCAGAGGGAGGGCACAGCCCGCCGGAAGGCCGAGGACGACCTAGTCGTCTGCAAGGGTGCATCAGCAAGCTGAAGGACGAGACCTGGAGGGTCTTGAGGCTCGAGAATGAACTTGTCCTTCAGCAGTGGGCGACCGCTAAAGCGGAAGAGGTTGCCGCCTGTTTTCTAGTATTTTTGGGCATGTGGTACCGAGCTACCCGACTCGGGTCATTCTCAAAGAAAGACTGTTTGGAGCTTCGTTTACTACCTAGTCGTCAAAGTCACATAACTGAAAAGAGAGTCCTACACATTCTACTCACTTGGAGGGATTGATTGCACAAAATTACACTAAGAATCTAGAAGGAAATGATGAGAGATGCAAGATTTAAAGAAAGATCGAAACTTTGGTTTCACGGAGTATCCATAACTCAAGAAAAACAAAAATACATCTTCAAACATAAATGTTTTGGTATTACAGGCCGGTGGATAATGCTCTCCTACCCACGGTGGGCACATGTTAATATGCCCACCGCTTATGTGGCATGCACACTTGGTGATATTAATATGTTCAAAAAATACATCACCAATGTGTGCATGCCACATAAGCGTTGGACATATTAACATGTGTCCACCGTGGATAGGGGAATATTACTGACGGGCCGGTTGTGCATCGCACAACTGGAGATTCCTAATGTGTGTTTATATATATATATTAAATATATTGGTGCATTACACAAGCAACAATACCAATAGTGTAAAATTGTGGTAGCTTGTCAAACACCACTAACATACCTTTTGGGTTGTTGTTTATAGTGTAAAATGATAACCCATGCCAAGATGTATGCTAACACTATCTGTGGGCTACTATCTAGTCCAATAAGATAAAGTACCCTTTTTGGGCCACGCGGTGGGCTAAAATATAGTAGTTATAACTTATAAGAGCACCCCATAGCCACTTCATTTTACGCGTTTAAACGCCACTTGTGCGTCCAAAAGGGATGTGGGTGTTCATTAATTTGCGGGGCCCTCAAATTCATTTAGCCCATTGAACGCGCGTTCTTCATTTTTATATATTTTTTTTTTTTGTGTTAACTTAATTGTTTAATCATTTTATTTTCCTTTTTTATATTAATTCATTTTTGTCAATAACTAAAAAAAAATATTTTTTATATTTATACTATTTTACTGGTGTAATTTTATTTTAAGTTATTTTGGTCTTTAAGTGTTCTTTCATTTTCATGCATTTAAAATTTATTATTATAATTTAAAGATATTAAAATTTATTTTTATTGAGAATAAAAAATTATAGTGTGAGTGGATAATGGGTCCCACAGATGTATTTAAATGAATGTGTAGGAATGTGGGTGTGTGTTTAAATGGAGAGTGATTTATGGAAAGATTATGTGGATGAGAGATAGTGTTACTTTTTATTGAATGAATGAGATATGTGTTAAAGGGTTGTGGATGCCCTAAATGCGCTCGATAATTCATGACCGAGGGCTTATGAGTTATTTAATCACCATAAACTTTAATATAAAATGTTTTACAAAAGATGATAAATTAAGTAGAAATTTGTTATCCATAATTTTTTTTTTATTCTTTTTTTTTGAACTATATCCTGTCTAACAAATAAATAAAAAAAATGAAATGAATAATAGAAATTCTATTCTTTTATTTTAAAATGCAAACATATAGTTGTGGGAAGTGATAACGTCAACTATCAAAATAGTACTTCAAGAGAACATAAATAACAGAAAATATAAAATTATCATTTCTTGCAAATGTTCGTAAATAAAAAAGCTTGTTTTAGTATCACAATATTTCATCTACACAGCCACGTGCTTCTCGCTCCTTGTCGCTCAATACCTTCAGCAATCTGTAAAATATGTGATATGTACATAATAATAACTTGTCATTCACATGAAACAATTAAGCTATAGAAGTCAAGCACTGACTGTAGACGTAATGATTAGAATGAGTTGAGGAGTGGAATATTTAAATGAACTATGATTAAATAAAATTTAATAAAAATTAGTTGAATAATGGAATAATTATGACATTGGAAAAAAAAATTATTGAATATATTAAATGAACTACGATTAAATAAAATTTAATCAATTAATGAGACAATACATAATATACATAAATATGTAGAAATAAAATAATATATATCTAAACTATTTATCTTTAAAATAATTTTATTTAATATAAATTAATCATTATTTGTAGTATATATTATATATTTATTTTTTATAGTCATTTTTTTAATTTTATTTTTTGAAAAACTTAATCCTAAATATATGGAATGAGAAAATCATGCATTAGCAATAGAGTGGCTAATTTCATGGAGATAGATTTTGCGATTCCCATTAGAATGTTCATTCATTTCTATGTCACCCTTTTTATATACCTGTGTTAGGAATGCTTAAGATCATAATAATATGTTTTAAGCCACCTTTTCATAATTTCGACCTCTTTTTTTCTTTGTGCGGTCAGCCACTCTGGATCCCCTTTTGCTGGAGGCAGTAGGTCTAGACAATGTGAACCTGCAAAATTAATTATGTAACCAAACTGTTGGAATTATCACTTGTGATCGAGTCGTCTCACATTGATTTGATAGGGTAAATGAGCCTAGTTTATAAGCCTAGCTAGTGGACTGCTTCTCCCATCATCTATTGGTTTTTGGATGGAACATCACTATGGCACACCTAGACTCACTCTCTTATGGTGCGTTTTGCTGCGTGGGACCGCACCCCTGATGCCCCGATTATAAAAAAATTTGACACAACAAACTTTTTTTACCAATATAGGATCTACAGACCGGCCGTGTAAGTATGTTTATGCTTTTGTGTATGTTGATCCAACGATATCAACACGATGATTGTAGTGTAATCACATGCAGATCGAGTCTTATGTTTTTTAACGAGTTTTTGTGATAGCAGATAACAAAGTGAGCAATAGTAATACGTACCATTTAGAGTGGTTATAGCAACCAAACTTTCAGACAAATCTTCAAGCACCCTGAATGTGAATACCAAAAGTCGTGTATATAAACATTAATTAATGAAAATAGATTTATCCCAGTTCATTTTTTTTTTCCCGAAATTAGACAACAAAATTAGAAGTACGAATTAAAAATAAGTGATTACCCCCCAGCACTAAATGGATCTCTGAGGCCGTTCGAGAAAATTATATTGCTCCCAAATCTTTTTAGGACCAACTTGATGTCCTGTGCTTGAGCAAAATTAACAACGTTTGTGAACTTGTTTCATGTTATGTGTACAAAATTTACACGTGTCATCATGTTTTTTTTTTTAAAAAAAAAATCACTATAATATAGTAATAAAGACAATGCTTACGTGGCCTCCATAGTAAGTTGTAATCCAATGTGGCCGAGGTGAAACACCGTATTTGCTCTTACAATATTCGTTATAGTCGTGTATATCAAAAGGTGCAGCTTGAAACATTGTAGCGTTTGCACCAATCCCAATTGGCATCACCATTTCATTACGACTCTGCACGTGATAAAACAAGGAGCCACAAAAAACAATGTTTATAACTCTTAAAAGAGATAAAGTGTGTTATTTTTTAAAATGTTGATTGAGTGAATGAATATATAAAATGTAATGATTAAATTCGATATAATGTAAAAATATGAGAGGGATTATTGAAAGCAGTATGTAGTTAAAATTATACGAGCGTACGAATATTAATTTAAAATTGATGTGATATGTAAGTATTATTGATTAATATTATTCGATTATATTGATATTAGCGAAAAAAGTTGGGATTAGTTAAATTTTGAGTTAAAAGTTGTGTAAATGATTGATTGAGCAGACTAGTTCATGATTATATATTGAAATCGTCATCTACGACGTATGGAGATGAATTTCAATATAAATTTCTTCTCCTTTGTCCTTTTGCTTTTGATGATAGGTAAACCCATTTATTGTCTCTTCCATATGTCCAAACAAGGCATAATTTGTCATTTTACTCCGTTGTGTTGGTCTCGTTTCAACAAAAATCCATCTTCTTGGTAGAAATCAAATTCAGTATATTAATCTAAAAAGTTCATTAAATAAGGTAATTTAATCATTAATAAGTGGATAAAGGTAGAATTATTAAAATTTATCATGGCGCTCGGCGCGGGCTAATCACGGGCCAATTGCAGGCCAAAAATATATAGTTTTTGCATATAATTTTAGACGAGTAATTGATCAAGCAAACGAACTCCAATTGGTCTGAAATTTTTGGCATACGACCGCCTTGATGAGAAGAATTCAACTGTAGATTACATACTTAAGACTCATTTGAGACGGCACTAAAATTAGACCGAAAATATATTAACTCAAATCATTTTAGAAAAAAAATTGGGTTGGCAAACGGAATCTAATTGACCGACAAATTTATGGTTACTACCGTTTTGATAAGGCAAATCCAACGGTGATTCACCACAAACTCTATATATAAGGCACCAAAATGGTCCCTAGATAGAGAACAATGAATTTGGGGTAAAATTATTTTGGATGACAAACTGAGCAGGTAAACGAGCTCAAATTGAGATCAAATTTGGTGGGTACGACTGGTTGAACAAGAAGAATTCGATAGTGGGTCATCCATCTAAACCATATCGTAGATGGTGTCGGAATTATATCAGATAAAAGATAACCTAAATTTATTCGAATTGAAAATTGAGTGAGCAAAAGAAATTTTATTGAGAAAAAAATTTATTGGTACGACTGTCTCGATGAGCATAATCCAACCATGGGTTACCCATTTGAAATGTACATCGGCCTACGTTCAAATTAGGGCTAAAAGAAAACAACAAGTTTTATCCTACCATTAATGATTAGTGTAACTGTTTTGATGAATTTTTCAAATTAATACCCTAAGTTTAATGTTCGTCGAAAAGATGAACCTTTGTTGGAAAGTGGCCAATACAGTTGACTAAAAATAAAATTATGTCATCTAATAAACAAGAAGAAATGTGTTAAGAGCTTGACTCCAAACCAGCAATGCCACGTCAGCATGTGCATGGTTAGACCTGCTTTGCATGAAGACAAAGAATCACAACAAAAACGTGACCAAGAGTACAAGAGAGAGAGAGGAGCTAGCTGTCACTTAGCAAAGATCCAAAAACGTAACCCTAAATTTGTTACCTAGATAGATGAGTGGTCAGGATCATTTTAGATCATCCATAAATCCCATAGAATGTAGCTAGGCAGCCGCTAAGGCAATATACAGAAGCTGAGAGACTCAAAACTGTAATGAGAATGCATTAAATCTGTTCTACTGTTGAGCATGCAAAAATGAGAAAAAGAAAAATATTTTTGATGACCATTCCTCTTATAGCTTCTTGATCCATCACATTCATTTAGTATTATTTCTTTTTTATTATGGCATCAGAGCCAGCTCTCTGATCTGTCTCTTTCTTTCTTTTTTTTTTTCTTTTCACCGTTTTTATTATTCTCTTCACCATGGCTACACCTACCCAACAACTTGACCCCATTGTTCAGCTACAAAATCAGCTAGTTTCCACAAAGCTAAATGAGACCAATTTTTTGGTCTGGGAACAACAAATCCTCACTACCATTAGGGGCCATGATCTGTTAGGTTTTCTCACTGGAGATACTCGAGCTCCTGATAAGCTAGCTGTTGATGAATCCTCAGGAGAAACCATAGTCAACAAAGCCTACCTTCATTGGGTGAAACAAGATCAGCTTATAGCCTCTTGGTTACTCTCTTCCTTATCCGAAAATATCCTTGTCACTACTGTTGGTCTCAACACCTCCAATGAAATATGGAGCTGTCTGAAGAAAAGCTTTGCAAGTCACAACCTAGCAAGGCAAATGCAGCTCAAGTTGGAACTGCAAACTATGAAGAAGGGTAATCTGAAGGTTCGAGAGTTTTTCAACAAGGTAAAAGAGGTCATTGATATGCTGGGAGCTGCAGGATATAGACTTGATGAGAATGACCAAGTTCTTCACCTGTTATCTGGACTTGGTCAAGAGTATAATCCAGTGGTGGTTAACTTGACTTCTCGAACAGAAAAGTGCAACATGATTGAAGCTTATTCAGTCCTCCTCAGCTTTGAAAGCAGATTGGAGAGTTTTGACACTCAAAATGAAACAAAAGCACCCTTTTTAGCTGCAAATCTCACCAACTTTCAACCTAGAGGAAGAGGCTTTACTGCTACCAGAGGCAGATCAGGGAATCAATTCTCTTTTCCAAGAGGGAGAGGAGGAGGAAGATCTCCTAACTTCAGAGGCCGTGGTGGTCGAAATTTCAATGGCCAAAGCAGAGCAAGGTGCCAAATCTGCAACTACAACAATCACACAGCTAATGAGTGCTACTTCAGATTTGATGCTAACTTTGTTGGGAGAAACCAATCTGGACCAAATGGCTCAAATCCATCCACCAATGGCAATCTCTCAGCTCATGTAGCAAGTGTTGGTTCCTCAACTGACACAACAAGCCAAGATCTCTACTGGTTCCCAGATTCAGGAGCAATTCACCATATCACAAAATGACTTGAACAACTTAAACCTGGCCAGTGATTACCAAGGCAGTGACAAGGTGCAAGCAGCTAATGGATCAGGTATGAACATTGCACATATTGGTAATGCTATGTTAAAATGCCCTACTTCTCACCATTCTCCTGCATTTCTACTCAACACACTCATGCATGTCCCTGAGATCACCAAGAATCTCCTTAGTGTTTCCCAATTTGCACAAGATAACCTTGTCTTCTTTGAATTTCATCCAACCATGTGTTTTGTGAAGGACCACAAGACTGGAGTACCTCTTCTTCAAGGAACACTTAAAGATGGCCTTTATTGCTTCAAGCTCACTTCAACTCAAGATCACTTGCAGCCTCATTTAAATGCTTTTCATTCTAGTTCTTCACCAATTTGTAATTCAGTTTCTAAGACTATTGTTGATCTCAGTACTTGGCACAAGAGACTTGGCCATCCATCTTATGATTTGGTTAAAGCTGCTTTAAACAATGCTAGCATTTCCTTTGTTGATAATAAAAGAACTACTCTTTGTGATGAATGCATGCAGTCTAAATTTCACAAGTTACCTTTTTCTGATTCTCTTCATGATGTTTCTAAACCTTTTGATTTAGTGCACTCAGATTTATGGGGGCCAGCCCCCATCACATCTTATAAAGGCTTAAAGTACTACATTAGCTTCATTGACCATAAAACAAGGTTTGTTTGGATATATATCCTTAAAGCTAAATCTGACACCCAAAAGGCCTTCATTCACTTCACAGCCCTCATTCAAAACCAATTCCAGACAACCATAAAAACTTTCCAATGTGATGGTGGTGGTGAGTTTCAATCATTAAAGACCTTACTTTCTGATATGGGCATCTTGTCTAGAGTCTCCTGCCCCTACACCCCTGAGCAAAATGGCTTGGCAGAAAGGAAGCATAGGCACATTGTCCAAGTGGGGCTGTCTTTGCTTTCTCAATCCAATCTCCCCTTATGCTACTGGGATGAAGCCTTTTCTAGTGCTTCTTATCTTATAAACAAAACTCCCAACAAACTTCTTAACAAACTTTCTCCCTTCCAAACTCTCTACAACCAAATCCCTCAATATGATTCCCTCAGAAGTTTTGGATGCCTTTTCTACCCTCTCTTAAAACCATATAACCAACATAAACTTCAACCCAAGAGCCTACCATCTGTCTTCATTGGTTACAGCCCCACACATAAGGGTTACAAGGTCTTGTTACCCAACAAGAAAGTCATCATCTCAAGACATGTTCTCTTTGATGAAAGCATCTTCCCTCTCCATCATTCTACTTACACTGCACAATCCTCTTCTTCTTCACACTCTCAGCCATTTACTACATCTGCTCCCACTTTACCCTTTCCTGATATGATTAACCACACATCTCACCCAGACATATCTCCTCCTCAAACACCTCTCACCCCTACACATTCCAACCATCACACACCAACTTCAGCTTCTCCTTCTAATTCAGCAGGCTCTCACCACACTCATTCCCCTCCTTCCACTCCATCTAGTAACACATCCTCTCACTCTTCACCTACCTCAACTCATTCTTCACCAGCCATACCTATTGGGCAAATTATCATAGACTTACCAATAGAGCAACCTGTTACTTCTAATCCATCTACTACAGGAACTCATACAATGGTTACCAGGTCAAAGTCGGGTATTTACAAGCCCAAGATTTTATCTGCCATTGTTTCCTCTCACATGGAGCCCACTACAGTCTCTGAGGCCTTAAGCAAACCAGAATGGTTTACAGCAATGAAAGAGGAGTTCCATGCACTTCAAAAGAATCACAGTGGGTCTTTGGTTCCTTCACCCCCTAACCACAATGTTGTTGGCTGCAAATGGGTATTTAAAACCAAAACCAACCCTGATGGCTCCATATCAAGGTATAAGGCTCGACTTGTAGCCAAAGGCTACACACAAGATGATGGTATTGATTATGCAGACACCTTCAGTTCAGTAGTTAAGCCTACAACTATTAGAGTTGTCCTCTCCATTGCAACCTCTCTTGGTTGGCAGCTCAAACAAATTGATGTGGATAATGCCTTCTTGAATGGCATACTAGACTGGGAGATTTACATGCAACAGCCCCCAGGCTTTGAAGTTGATCCTCATGCAGGTCTTTTTTGCAAGCTCCACAAGTCTCTCTATGGTTTAAAGCAAGCATCTAGAGCTTGGACTTCAGCATTCAGTACAGCCCTCTTGTCTATTGGTTTCACTATTTCTAAAGCTGACACTTCATTGTTCATTAAACACAGTCCAAGTTCATCAACATTCATCTTAGCATATGTTGATGA